AGGAAAGATGAAGGATAGTTGCATGACTACTGGAGCTCTGCGCTTAATCTTTGATTAAAAGTTTGGCTTTGCTAGCAACTTTATTGGATGAGTCAAGGCAGAGTATATCAACGATGGCAGTCACACTGAATTCTCCTTCCTCCATGCAGTCTTTTCAGAAGGCAGCTGCTCTGTCTCTCTCATATTTGTCTCCCTTTAAGAAAAAATATTATGCTCATAGTTCCTGCAGATATGTGATAGAGGTGTTTGATTAAAACACATATCTCCAGAAACTATGAGCATTACTCTCTCTTTTTTTTCTTTTAAAGGAAGACAGATATGGAAAAAGACAGAGTAGCTTTCTCCAACAGGGAAAGAGAAAAATTCAGTGTGACTGCCATCACTGATGTACTCTGCCTTGACTCATCCAATAAAGTTATCAGCAAAGCCAAACTTTTATAAAGTGAATGAAAGGGAGAAGGCCATTCAGCCCTGTGAAATGCTTTCTCAGCGCTGAGTGAGGTAGTGACTGCTAAAGCATTTGACACTTTGTATTTTATGGATGAAAAGGAAAATCATTCACCAGCAATTGCTTTTGTCATAGTCTCTCCCCCGCCCCCCCGCCCCCGTTCTACTAATATAGACATTCAAGGACAGAGTGTGTGTCAACTCCACCTACTCAAAAGTAGGAACCATTGGAAGCTGTTGACAATTTCTGGATACGCATATAGCTCAATCCATATTCTGTATTATCAAAATTTGGTTTTTTTAAGAAAAACATGATAGAAAGAATGAGGATACTTCAGATATGATTTCTCAGACTTTAGAACAAAGAGGTCCCATTATCTATTGTTAGAAACCGTGGCTTGAATTTTGAACTACCATGTATCAAAGCAGTTTCCTGAAATGTTACACATATCCCATAAAAACTGATATGTGGGATCATAACAAATAATTTCTTCCTACTCTCCAACAAAGGAGATGCTACTTTAGAAGATCAAACGTCTGTGGTTAAGGAAAATATACACCTACAGCTGCAAGTTCTGGAGGGCAAAGAATTGCAAACGTTGGAATACTGGTTAAACCACAAGAAGAGAAATGTTACCACAGGACTGTGTGTTCTGTTCACACATCACTTCCACACAGCTGAATCATTCGGGTTAATATTGATAATAGTTCTCTTCCATGAAAACATTAACAGAAATCATCTAGCAGTGCCTGAAATATCTCAATCGATATCTGAGGATACCCTTCATCCTTCAAAATAATAATGATGATGATGATGATAATGGGGATATTTTAAAGGAAATCACAGTAACAGATGAGAGATCTGGATGCAGTTTTCTACATCTAGAAATATGTTAGAGAATGTTTTGCAAGGAAAGTGATACTGTGAAACAGCAGGCTGCCAAATGGAAATGTATGAAACCTAAAACAAAATTAGCTTCTGTGAGAAAGGAGCTGAAAGGAACTGAAAGTTCAGTTTCAACTGAACTGCTGAAAATAAGAACCAAGGTAGAAGGAAGCATATAAGACCTGAGGGCAGAAGATGAATGACAATACAATAAACCTGAAGACAAAGGTGTGTAAATCAATATAATATTTCACAAATAGGAGGCAATGAGAGATGTTGCTTTCGGGTGGCCAGGTGAAAAGGGGACCAGGGCTCCTGCATCTTTAATAGTTGTGCAGAAAAGAGAATTTCAACAGAAGTAACTTGTCACACACAAGTTCTGCACAACTGTTACAGGTACAGGATCTCTGGTCACCCTATGAGGATCTGTGACTTCAGCTTTGCTTGTATCTGAAATGTGATAGGCTTCAGAGCTAGGGAACTCTTATCCATTAAGACCTGGAAACTGAGTTGAACAAGTCTTAAAATAGGGAATTCACTTTTTTTCCAGCCAAAATTTGCTGGGTTACATTGTATTCCTTCATCCTCCTGAGTTTGCATGCTTTGCTGTGAAAGGCTGTGGTTGGTTTATTTGTTTATTTTCTGCTATTAAATAAAATATTCTTACTGGACATTGTCTGCCTATGGCTGTGCAAGTGCTGATTGGATTGAAACATTTGCTGAAGGCCTGAAGCATATGTATTGAGAGAGATTTTTGGGCTTTTCAGCAATCTTTTAGCCCAAACGTTTTAAATCTTGAGATTTTATTTCCGCCATTTTATTTTATTGGATCATTTTGATTGTCCTTTCCTGAAACTTTTTTTTTTAACAATATCCTTTTTGAGGTGCAATCTCCAACTTCAGAATTATTCTGTTCACCACAAAGTATCTAACATTTAATGTCACCGTCTTCTTGGGCCATCAGAATACAAATTTCAATTATACCTACTCATAATAATTTTATCTATTAATGTTATATTTATTTCTATTTTCAGTGACAATTTCTTGTTACTTGTCAAGCATATAATTCTGCCTCATGCCCATTTTAATTAAATACCACATATTCTCATTTTCATTAACACACCTTGCTCAACCCATCTGGACACTGAGCAAGTTTTCTCTTTCTCCTGCATTGGCCTGTTAGATTAGAGCTCAAGATGAGGGGAACATAATTTACTTAGCAATAAATATCAAAATCATTTAATAGCCATTTTCAAATATGCTTACTTTGCAAGACAACTTCTAAGGCAAAATTATTCTGTTTTTGTTAAAGGGATTATGAGCAGAACAAATGACTCTGGTACAGCAAAGATAAAATCCAGAATATGACCAACGTAATCTATGACATTTTACTATGGTAAAATCAACAAGAGCTGCTAGATTCCATTGCATTTATAATTAGAATGACTTTATTGTAATTCAAGATGTGTTTTTGAAAGGAAAATCTTTAAGAATAATAAATATTATAATGAGTGCTTAGGTGAATCAAAAAAATTTACATTTGAAAAACAGATGTGTCAGCTTTGATAAAGGGTTACTTTGCATTTTTCATAGTGAATTTTTAAACTAAAAAAATAAAAGGATAAATCTGTCAAAAAATAATAAATCACATTTTAACAAAAATATTAAGCTGTAATACCTGTGCACAAATATTCTTACAAGAACAGTACAAACAATGTTTTCCCAAGGGAAGTACTACAAAAAAAATCTTATTACCATATGACAAATGTTATATATTAAATAAACTCAAATCAGCTGTGACATAAGCCAAATTTGTTAGTCTTTAAGGTGACACAATATTTTTTTTTCCAAACACTGCTGCTATTCTGGAAATAGAATCACTTGGCACTCTGAGAACCACAATGCTTTAAGGAGCCCATTTATATTATTATGGGAAGTTAAATGTAATAGTGTTAAGAATCACATAAAATGTTGCTCTGTAATTACCATTTATGCTCTTGAACAGTTACTTAACTTAGCATGGACCCTTAGAAGGTGACCCGGAAACTACAACTAATCCAGAATGCGGCAGCTAGACTGGTGACTGAGAGCAGCCGCCGAAACCACATAACACCAGTCCTGAAAGACCTTCATTGGCTCTCAGTATGTTTCTGAGCACAATTCAAAGTGTTAGTGCTGACCTTTAAAGCCCTAAACAGTCTCGGTCCGGTATACCTGAAGGAGTGTCTCCACCCCCATCATTCTGCCCGGACACTGAGGTCCAGCACTGAGGGCCTTTTGGCAGTTCCCTCACTGCAAGAAGCCAAGTTACAGGGAACCAGGCAGAGGGCCTTCTTGGTAGTGGCACCCGCCCTGTGGAACACCCTCCCACCAGATGTCAAAGAGAAAAACAACTACCAGACTTTTAGAAGACAGCTGAAGGTAGCCCTGTTTAGGGAAGCTTTTAATGTTTAATAGACTATTGTATTTTAATCTTTTGTTGGAAGCCGCCCAGAGTGGCTTGGGAAACCCAGCCAGATGGGCGGGGTATAAATAATAAATTATTATTATTATTTATTATTATTACAAATGGTTTCACATTACAAGAAAGGAGAGCCTGACTAAACATCAGGAAGAACTTTCTGACAATAATAGCAATGATAGTAATAATAATTATGATTTGTACCCTGCTCATCTCGCTGGGTTGCCTCAAGAGTTGTTCAAGAGTGGAAGAGACTCCCATGAAGGGTGATGGAGGTTTTTAAGCAGAGCTTGGGTGGCCATCTGTCATGCATGATCTAGCTGAGATCCCTGCATTGCAGGGGGCTGGACTAGATGACACTCAGGGCTACTTCCAGCTCTACAAAACTGTGATTCTACGATGCAGCTGATGACTAACTTGACCTTATTTCTTTTGTAGCGAACGGAATATTGCACTACTGGAACCCTGTCAACTGATTTCACACCTACTGACTTTGCTTTAGTGAACATCTGATGGTTGCACATACCATTTGGCTTCTTCTCTCCAGCGCTCCAGCAGCATGCTGCAAATATATGAAGACGTCTCATACTTAACTCAGAAGGCTGGAATATGGAGCCCACTGTCAGTGTTGCGACTTACAGTGAGTCTACAAGACCTCCGGAAAACGTATTTGCTGGCCTCACTACTTAAGATCCTTTGAACTAGAGATAAAAAGGATTGAACACAAGAAGAGTCTGCTAGGACAAGCCAAGGGTCCATCTACTCCAGCATCCTGTCCGCACAGTGGCTGAACAACAGGTAGGATCTAAGCAGAAGAGCACTCTCTCCTGCTGTGGCTTCCAGCTACAGAGAAACAGAAGCATTGCAGCCTCCAACTGAGCAGAAGGCAGGGCGGAGCCATCTTGGCTAGTAGCCATTGATAGCTTCCTTCTCCATGATTTGTCTAATCCTTTTATAAAATGCCATCCAAGTATAGATAGCCACGACTGCCTCTAGTGGGAGCTTGTTCCATCGTTTAACTACGTGTTGCATTAATAAGGACTTGCTTTCCTCCATCATTCACCTTCATGGGATGTCCACTTGATTGGACTTGGGACCTTCTGTATGCAAACGTATGTTCTACCATTATGCTAGCTTCCTTTTCATGAGCAAAACAACAAGAAAACAAAGTAACTTGTGAAGTACAGAAAAAAAGGACCAGCTTACCAGATTCCAGCCTGGATACAGGTAGTCAGTTCCAACAAATTCAAAATAGTGAGCAAAGCCTTCTTTTAGCCACACATCTTCCCACCATACTGGAGTCACAAGGTCACCAAACCACTAAAAGAAATGAACAAAACTATGGTTTTAAAATATCACTTGTTCACATTCTATTTATGCAAGAAGTAAAGTTCCGAAGGTAGTTGATGAAAAGTTACTGCATTTCTCAGAGGTGACTTCTTATACCTTTTCCTTAATTGTTTCAAAAGATTTTAATAAGGGATTCCTATAGGTTTCACCTATAAGCAGAAAAAGGTGGCTTGTAAGATAACTGCATCCTAGACATTTGCTACTAAGCCTCCTTTAAGGTTTCAATAAGTACTACACCAGAAACTCAGAAACACAATTAAACATTTGCTTTAAAAAATATGGGGAGAGCTAACAATGAACTGTATACAATGAATTTGTGCTGCAACAAGAAAAGGCACTTAAATCTTGCAATACTGGAAAGAAATGAAAAGGCTACGTCATGCTTTGCAAGGTGGTCTTTGGCCCCAGAAAGTAGGGCAGAGAAAATTTGCTTTTTTCTTCCAGCATGGTTCCTGACTTTCACTAGGTATAACAGAAGGTCAGAAATATCTTGCCTACCCAAGTATCAAAAGAACCTCTTGAATTTTCAGAATAGTAAACCATCTATGCTTGTTTCAAGGGCTTGCAAATGTAGTCCAATTAACAGGCGCTCCCAGGTGATTTATTATTTAATGTAATTACTTATGTGTAATTAAAATTGCTCCACCTCCACTAACTGGAGAGTGGGCTATTTAATCTCCAGCCACTGAAAAGTTCCTGGTGTGATCATTTCTAGGCTATCCCTTCTCTCTATCATGAGCCTTGCTGTACTGTTTCCTTGGAATTGCTTCGGACTGCTGTCTCTGTGACTCCAAACAGCTTTTATAGGCATGATAGCTACCAAGTAAGAAGTTCTGAAATATCAAAAATGAAACAATTGAAGGAGAAGGTGAAGCATACCAAAATATAAACACACACACATCTCCACCTTGTTTTGTTTTTGAAAAACTTCCCCTACTCTTTCTAATGATTCCAATGGAAAGGAATTTACCATGACTAGTGAAAATCAGGTCTGTTTTTGGGAGGGTGCCGGGAGAACAAGGGTGCTTAGGAGCCTGTAACATGTTGACAAAGCACCCTGTTTCTGGCCTCACAACAGGCAGAGTGCCATTGGAAAAACAAAAGCAGAAGAGGCATCTACCATAACAGCAGGTAGGCCTTCAGAATTGAACATCTTTCTTCTCCTACTGTGTAGGAGGCCTGCAACTTCTTATGGTCCCTCAGCAACCCTCCAAAGGGCAACAGGATTGCTTCTAATTTTTATTTTTATTTTTTTAAGACTCAGATATGTATTTCGCATTTGCAACAGCTCTGACTTTCTCATGATAACCGTATGCTACTATCACCACTGATCATTTAAACTGCCTCTAATGGAAACGACTCCCAACGAAGTGAACCCATAAAATATTGCTGAACCTTTTATCTCATTGTAGTTAGCTTCAAGCAAAACATGTCGAAGGAGCTGGAGATCAACGTCAAATGAGAACAATGCTTAGTGCTCTCATCCTATAATTAGTTAGGGATGCATTTCATTGCCAAACAATGGTAGAGTGGTCACATTCAAATCTTTGAAACAAGCAAACCATATTTTTAAAACTCAAGTTTGTTGTTCTCTCACGTTTTCGGGTTGTGAGCAAATTATTCACTTGTAAACCTAGTTACAAATGTTTAGCAACATTAAAATCATATGACAGCCAGTGTAGTGTAATGGTTAGAGTGTCAGGTGATTAAGGATGGATAGCTGTCCCAACATTTAATACAAGAAGGTAAGCCACTGCAATTTTTTATTGTTTGATTATCATTTCTATTTTACCATATGCAACATAGCAAATCTAAGTGTTCTTAATTAATTGATGGTTTATTTTAAAATATTGATTTCAATATGAGTCCTTAAAAATGCATAGGTAGCATGTTTTTTTCTTTAAAAAGAGACACTTCTCGCACACTTACAATTGGGAGGGAATGTCTCTTTTGAGTTATTGTACACCATGAAATACATCTGCATCATCTAAAAATAAATGATGCCCATTCCGAGGAACTATTCATTCATATGCAAATCTATGCACTTTTAATCAATTAACAGATTAAATCCACATGATTAACCAAATCAGAGTCCTAGTTAGAATATATTTTGCAAGTAATCAGTCCGGAGCCCTATAACAGTACACCTTAGAAATTCCGTAAGACTATCAAATTGAAACAGAAGGATACTTCATGATCTCATGTCACAAAATCATATAATCAGTGCTCTATGCACAAATTGTTGATGGTGTTAAATAAGTTGGGTTGGATCCAAACCAAGAGATCCTTCTGCCCGTAGAAGGCTTTTGATCCAATGGACTGGTCCCACTGGTGGCCGGGGCAAGACGACCATTTTCACCAATTCCCTACTTTCCATATCCCTCCACAATGTTCTAGAGAAGCCTGCAGAACACATTTCAAAGTATATGAGGAACTGCAGGGGAAAATCAGCAAAAGTTGACTCCCTCCATCTCACTTGACACCAGTGAGAAGGAAGTTTGGATCCAGGCCATTCTAAATTAATCAAAGGGAAAAAAATACTATTATTAGATGAATAGCTATGCTGAATATATAACCAACTCTTCTGGAAATGTTTTCAACTAGCAAAAGACTCCTTATATTTCACAGGTGCCTACTTCACAGATGTTCAATCTCAGTTTTTAATAAGAGTACTAAATTTGAAACACATGACCTAATGGAAACAAAATTGTAAGAATAGGAAACAGTGTGATGCATTTTGAACAAAATATATTCTACCAATTTAGCATTTGTAGTTAAGAAACAGTGAACAGCTTCTAGAACTTTTATTTGAATATTCTCACTTTTTAGTTTGAATGGATCTTATCAAGTGATGCTTTCTGAAGGAAGATATTAACTAAAACGGATGAGGGGATAATCCACTTATTACAGTTAATCAGAGGTGAGGAAAACTCTGTCAGTTCATTACATTCATACAGAAGAGATTTCCCCTTGGCTGTCTTGTTACTAAGAAATATATGCTGCACTTCTGATAGATCCGTAATAATTAAAAATTAGCAGGTATATAAGTATTGACTAACCAGAGATGAGAAGCACTTCTGGTAGATCAAATATTGTATCAATAATAGCAGGCCTTTTATCAGTGACCACCATAAAGTACACTAGTCTCTAGATTATTTAGCTCTCCACCAAATCACATCTCCATGTGAGAGGGTATCTACCACTGCATACTAAGTACAACATCTAACCAGTTCCTATGGCATTCCCTGCTCATGATCTGCAATTAATTCAATATTTTTTTCAAATCATACTACATTATTCAATTTCCTCTGTGAGTTTGAGATATTATTTGTATGCTACAATGGCTGGTTATTTCTGGTACGAGATAGGCAATGGATGCGATTTTGGGCTTTGAGAAAGGTCTTAAGTGGGATATCTCTCCCTGACAAGACTCAGAGCCTTAAATGCAGAATATTGAGGTATCACATTTCCTCTCCAGCACAATAGCCTTGCTTTCCGATTTCTTTGTAGTGACAACCAGAGATGAGTTACTCTCTCCTCTTGGCTTACATCACATTGGTTCAAAAAAAATAAAGCCAGGCTATTTCTCCACCCACAAATGAAATACTCATTTTCCAAAGCCAAACTGACTCAAGTCAGCCTGATCTCCAACTCTCCCTTTCCCATTAAATAAGACTTACTTGGCTAGGTCCGCATAGTGGTAGCATCTCACCTCCCTTGCCTGGTGTGCTGGTAATGAACTGGGAAGAAATGCCCTAATGGTATTACAGCAGCCCTTGGGGAAACTACATTCCCTCACAGGGTTGGCACAACTCCATTCCAGCCTTTATTCCTGTGCTATTTAAGTGCTATTGTGGGAAAATGTTGGACATTTCCTGTATTTGTGAAAGGGTTGTTTGTAAGGTGAATGAATTACATTTAGAATCAAATATTACCTTTGTTTCAAGAGGTAAAAATTAAGTTTCTGGTCCCTCTACACTATGTCTAACTTCTGCACTCATCTTATGTTACTAAAATGTCATATTTAGATTAAAGAAAGACGATACAGAGGGAAGAATGTGAAATCAATGTAAAGGGTTAACTGTAATATTTTTCAGTATATTTAAGAATCACAATAAACACAGAAGTATAATATTCATTGTTCATATACAGAGAACCATTGCAGAAACATAAAGAAAAAAACACTTCCCAAGTTTATGTAAGTGAGTAAGAGTGACTATGAAATTTATTTCAGTCACTGCAAGTTTTGACAAGAACATGGAACTCGGCTTGAAACAGTTATGGTGCTATAATTAATCACTTCCTGAGAACACCACTATGCTTAACTATATAAAGACAAAAGTCTATTACAAATCACACCAAAGGGAAGGAAATTTTACACTATTGATCAGGTTCCCATTTTTTTGAATGTTGGTGAACTTCTTATGCTTATCATTATAGTGTTTATTATACTTAATGTCTGTCTGTTTATCATAGTAATGTCCATAATTGATGTGTTTCCCTTCTGTGTAACTGAGTTTTCCTGAGAGAACAGTCAACATGGAAAATGCTTTGACTTAAACAACGACAACAACAGTTTTAAGTAGCATGCTCACAAGTGATAAGGTTTATCTCCTACCTGATGGCATAGCTCATGCACAATGACCATAGTGACATCAAGTAAGTATGATATGGAAGAAATGCTTGGATCCAGAAGTATCCTCTGCTCCACAAAAACACTTAGTCCCCAGTTTTCCATAGCAGCATACGGATGCTTAGGCACAGCTAATAAATCTAGAAACAGAATGAAATGTACTTTTACTGCGCTTGTGGGATCTATTATGATCTAAAATTCCTGGTAAATAAAAGCAGCATAAACCATATTTAGAATTATTTTTCCAAACAACTCTGCACAAATAAAAACATTAATTTATGTTTCTTTGCAATAACACACTAGTAACACTAATAATTATTTGTTAGCAGAGACGCTTCTCTTCTAGTATCATTTCTTCTGTTGTCTCAACATGCTGTAACATACTTTGAATGGGATTTGGTATCACTCACTGTTTGTGGTAGCAAAACAATAACAATAAAAAACAAACTGTAAAATAATGGGAAATCCCTATTCATCAGGTTGGAGCTGTAATATAATGGCTTGAGACACTGTCTTAAACCAGGACCCGCAAATTCCAATTCTACAGAACGTTACTCCTCCACTCACATGTGCGATTAACACACACTCACACTCTTGAACTTAATGGAACTAGCCTCTGAGTAGATATGTGCAGCATTACTCAGTTACTCTTCACAGCTAACATTATCAATACTGTATTAAAGATAATTTTAAACATTTGTCCTCACGCCAAAAATGTGATTTTTAATAGAAACCTTTGTAGCAAATGTTTTATAGGTAGGACAAACTCAGATTAACACATGCAAAAATATTAATATTCAAAACATTATTTTTTTAAATAGCAGCAAAGAGAGAAAACAAAAGTCATAAATGAAATCCTGCACACAGTCATACGTAAAATGAAAGGAAATTGCTACTTTTAAGGTGAGAAGCAAAACTAATGGCATTTGGCCCAGCCACGATTAGAATATTGGACTTGAAGCTCATGTCTCAATGGGTATCCTTGAGACAGTCTCCTATTTCTCAGCCTAAAGTAACCTACAGTACCTTACGCTAATTATAGGCAGTTATTGTTATTAGTACAATTCCTATACTGCCCTTTACCCGAGGATTACGGGGTGGGTAGGTTACAATATAAAACAGAAAAATACGTACCATATTAAAAAATGAAAACATCAATCAGTTTAGGATAACACTTCATTCATCTGATGAAATGGACTCTAGTCCACAAGAGCTTGCGTCATTAATAGTTGTTCTAGTCTTTGAGACGGAATGGGGAGCCTCAGCTCACAAGCCAATCTTGGCCTATCAAGGGATGCAATCTGGCTCACACCCACCTCTCAATCATCCAACATTACTATTGATGTCAGCTGATGGGCTTGACTGCATTCTGTGTTAAATCCTACTCAGTGGGTTGTCCCACCCACCTGTCAAAGTTGGCCTTCCAAAAGTGGTACTTACTAGTACCACTATCTCTTATGTTTTACTCTGTAACACTGTAGGGATATTGCATATTGAAATTTGTGTTGTGGCATTGTTATGGCCCACTTTAGCCGGAAAAAATCTTCTCTTCTAGAGCAGCAAGCAAGACAACTTCATGATTTCTGAATCTGGCTTGTTTCCATCAGGTGTCAAGAGTGGTAAAGACAAGTCTGCAAAGGAACAACTCTAAGAGTTTATTGTTTCTTGGCAACGGTGTATTGTGTGCAGTGCCTTTTAAATTAGGAACTCTGGAATGGAGGTTATCCCTGCCAAAGGTGGGCTTGAAGTTAGTGTCACTCAGCAGTGACTTCAAGCCCTAATTCAACTGGCTAAATTCCAAGAATTTACAGTCAGGCACTCTGGAGTGCAGCTGATCCAAGCAGGTTTAAAGTTACCACCAATCAGCTGATTGACAATAACTTCAAGCCTTGCTTGGATAGGCTGACATCTTCCTTTGCAGTTCAGCTTGAGTGCAAACTGAAGAACTGATAACCAGAGATCATGGCCCCACCTACCTATCCAAGTAGCCAGTCAGGTATGGGGAGACAGGGAATCACTCTGCTGGGAGGAAAGTTTCCCCACTCCAGCCATAGCCGAGACCAACCACAATTTCTGTTTGCATTACAACAACTTACTTAACTGGAAACTGAAGCAATTTTTATTTTTGTCTCCTTGAATTATTTTCATTCCATTTTGTTCAATCTGCGAAATCAGTCAAAATACTGATTTCCTTATACAGTGGTACCTCGGGTTACAGACGCTTCAGGTTACAAACTCCGCTAACCCAGAAATAGTACCTCAGGTTAAGAACTTTGCTTCAGGATGAGAACAGAAATCGTGCTCCGGCGGCACGGCAGCAGCGGGAGGCCCCATTAGCTAAAGTGGTACTTCAGGTTAAGAACAGTTTCAGGTTAAGAACGGACCTCCAGAATGAATTAAGTTCTTAACCACTGTATTGGTGGGTAGTGTGGTCCTATCACTTTATTCATAAAAGGCAGTATATCCAACTAAGTTATACTCCAGGGTACGTAGGCTATATGCATCCACTGATTTCATATAACTAACAATGGATATCACTGAAGGTCTTTATAACACCTGGAGCATCTGCTGGCCCTGAGAAAAGGCTCTAGTGTAGTACTGTCTGCTTGTCATATTCACCCTGTGCCAAAGCAAATGGAGTAACTACTTCGTTTTTGGCAGCTAGATAAATGGGTTTTAGAAATTCATTTTTCCCCAGTAAAATAATATCATGCAGATATGATTCAATGATTTGTGTAGCAAAATCTGTATGTAAGGTCCTGGTATCTTTTGTTTCCAAACATTTAATTAAAGCATCATAATTATTCGAGTTGTGCAACAGTATATGATTAGAACCCATTATTCTTAACCAATATAATCATGATGCAAAACAGAAACTATCAGTATAACACTAGCCATTTAAAAGTGATTTGAAGAACAACCTGTTTTTTTAATTTCACATTTGTCTTTGGGCTCACATCTAAGTTTCTTTTCGTTGCTATCTAATTTAAAAGTGGTGGTTCCTTTTCAATTTGCTTAGTCAATTACATAAAGCCCTTGGGCACCCCTACCTTGAAATTATCAAGTATGCATAACAGAAAAGCTTGCAAGACATCTACCTGCAGCAGGTGTGCCCTACATTTGCAACTTCTCTGCATGTGTCCCCATGACTATTGCTTACACAGCTGTTGTTTATCTACCTTTTCCCTTTCCCTGGGCATGCTAGAAAATACCGGTACTAACTTGTACTGAATTTACTCCTGGACTAGCTTCTATATTATCATCAGTTCCTGGTCAAAATGTAGTCCCAGTTTATTTATACACACTAAATTCTATCCTATTCTTTCTCTAGGCAAAACCTTTCTTTGTAGCTGCAATGAATTCCAGGAGGCTCTATTCCCTTACAGACTGTCATATAGCTATTAATTTCTGTGTGGGCAAACATAACTAATTGACCCATAGCGCAGAGCCATATGCAGGCCTAGCTCAACCAAATGCTAAGTAAACTACCGAACAGGAGTCCCTGCTGTTGTGCAATTATCTTTGAAATTTCCTATTTAGAAAGTGTCCAGTCCAATTCCTTGCACTGGGATTCTTTAAAATACTCTGCAGCTTTTCTTAGAATATCATGGCTGCTCCCTACTCACAAGATAGCAGCAAGCTATTTTGATGCAGAGATGCACAGAAATAATTCCAGAACATGTAAAAAAGCTCAGTGTTTAACTTCAGGCTGTATAGCCTGATGTGGCTGTAGAAACTAGTATGGGAGACTTGTTTTGCTGCAGATGGAGGTATTTCTTCTTTCTCTCCTCTCAGGGGTCATTCCTCCTCTGGCCACTGCTGTGGGTACACCACCTGACTGACTGTGGTGACCACACGTCTTTAGACATGGGCAACTTACACCCGCCAGGAATGATGCCTCAACGCCATCTACACGTGCTGCATCAGGAAGATTTTGGGTATCTCATGGCAGGACAGAGTCTCAAACAAAGATATGTTATCCCAAGCCCACATTCCCAGCATATTCACACTTCTGTCTCATGTTTAATGCTGACCAATTAAATACAAAGGATGTGAAAATGACTCTAACACTGAAAAAAATGTATTTTAATTAGTGTTTTATAAAGACAGCTTTTCGATAAATAGTGTGGGATCTAAATGCTATTGTTTCATACAGCACTGTAGCCATATCTGATGATTCAGAAGAAGGGTAGGACAGCCATAAACTCAGTATCTGATATAAGGATATAACCCCAATGCTCTTATTGAAGCGTATACTATTCATAAAGCTATACTTATAAAGAAGCAATGAAACATGTTGTCACACCAACTGCTTTGAATACAAAGTATAATTCACAACAATGCACAGATAAAATAAGGAGAATTTTGTGACTTGTAACACTCATATTCCCCACTTACATGTGAAAAATTAACCCATAATATTTAACAAATAAATGTATTGCTACAAATGGATCTAGCTGCAACTCCAAACACATTAAGTAATGTTCACTAAATAGATACACAGTTATGCATGATGTGAGGCAATATGTTGTCATTTTGTATAAAAGTTGCTGTGGGACCTAGATGTTGCAAAAGCGGTATAAATTTTAAAACTAAAATAAAGCAGGACCTGAAAAAAGGTACATAATTACAGTCAGCCAGCCATGACTTTTCCAAGGATACATCATTCCATTCTCCCCGGTTTTCAATTCTCCTCCCCTCATACGTCAGCATTCCTTCATGCCCAGTGAATATGTGCTGCACTCATTAGGATATTTTGGGTCCCCCTCCATTTTTTTTGTACTTCTGCAACTCTTTGTGTTCTCAAAAGCTTTCCGATGCATTCATTTTCTGCTTGGATTATGCTTTTTCAGGTGAATCCATATCCATAATAAGATTTTAAGCTAAGTATTTGTATTGTTATGGGGGGGAGGGTTAGCAAGTGTTAAAACCTAGTGGGAGAGATCAAGGAGGGAGGGCAACTTGTTGCTGTATGCTCAACAGTTGTGGAATGGGACTTTCTGAGCCATAGGCTCCCTCACAAAAGAGGCAAGGGTGCAGGGATGCTGGGGGGGGAGAGATCCTCCTTTGGTATGCACACTGAAGGCCAGCAGCTAAAGGGACCCCTGACCATGAGGTCCAGTCATGACCAACTCTGGGG